GAGCAGGCACAATGACAGTGCTGTAATATCAGCCAAGTTTCACAACCATGTTTTAGTATTTGTCCTGTAAAATGAGTTCTCCTGTCCCAAAGGAGGGTTCTAAAAGCATTTTTGCTACTGCTTGTGTTGCTTTTCCATACGGGATGGTTTCAACCCAGTGAAAACACATGCAGATTGCTGCTAACACTTTAATGCATCCAGAAATTTGAGGTCATTGAATAAAGTCAAGTTGCCATACTTCCAAAGGCCCGGAAGGTTAGGGAAAATGTCCCATTGAACTATGGAAAGGTTTTCTGGGATTACATTTGTGACACATAAGACATTTCTTTTATATGTTTAAGGCAGTTTTTGAAGAGGGGGCTCCAGAAATACCGATGGCCCCTTTGAATAATTTATCAGTGCCCCAGTGAGTTAACTCATGAAGAGAATAAGTCCAAATTGTTCCCCAAATTGCTTCTGGTAAAGCTAGTTTATGTGGTCCACACCAGAGACCCAGTTCTCTGTATTTACAACCAACTTCCAGCCATTTTTTCCTTCTTAGATTAAGGAAGCTCGTTGCTTTTTTTTTGTATTGATTTCTCTAAGTTCAGTTTGGAAGACGCTGAAGCTATTCATTGTGGCTCCAGCGTTTGCGTCGCAGCAATTTTGCAGCTTGATCTGCCATCGTGTTTCCTTTCGCTAACTTGAATCATCTTTTATGAGTCGGGGAATCTTTAAACTAACTAAAGCTTTGGGGAATTGAAGAGCATCTAACAGGCCTTGAGCATCTAACATAAGTGCTGTTTTTTATTGGTTTTCCAGATGAGGTTAAAAATACCTCTGTTTCCACAGCATTCCAAAGTCATGAGCAAGTCCAAAGGCCTATCCATGTTCATATCAATATTGGCTGTTTGGGGCTTTTCGAGTAAACAAGCTGTGGTCGGAATGAATCATCAGCTTGTTGAGCGGACTTAGCCTGTGGGAGTGGCTTAGCGTCAGTGACCTTACCCTTGGAGGGCTTGGTCTCCAGCTTGATAAGGTCCTTCAAAATATTTAAGGTATGAACCATTTGTCAAACCAGATGATTTCAGTGTTTTCCAAAGGATTTTCCTGTAAGTCAGCTCAGGACTAATAGCTGGTCTGTGAGTGAAATACAATCAAGATCAGACCTATCAGCCCATCTGTTGAGATGATCGTATGATTTTATCCTTTGTCTTGTTAACGTGCGTAACGTTGGTTGACTTGTGGATGTTGAACCTTCTGCATCCTTGGAATAAATCCCGCTTGATCCTACTGTACGGTCCTTTTAGTGTATTGCTGAATTTGGTTTGCTAACATTTTGTTGAGGATTTTCGTATCTATGTTCATCAGAGATTATGGCTGTAATTTTCTTTTCTTGTGTCCTTGTCTGGTTTTGGTGTCAGGTTCAGGGAATATTTTGTTCATCTTGGTAACCCTAATGTCTGGCACATAATAAGAAATCAGTAGATATTTTGATGTGACACGTGTTGAATTTCGAACAAGCAGGAATTTGCTAGTTCAAGAAATTAGAGGAAAGATGGCCATTCCAGGCAGAGGAAACAGCATATTCAAAGGTATAGGACCTCGGCTTGGCGGTAATCAATCCCTAATTCTATTTCCTACCAGAGTTTATCCTAATCATGCCTACAGAGACTAAAATTTACCAAGTATTAACATTGTAGTTCATGTGGCTTCAGATAGTGAAGACCTAAAAATAATCATTATATTTCTTTTAAAATATTAATCACTGACCACTTCACACCCATTAGGATGGCTACTATAAAAAAAAAACTGTTGCAAGGATATAGAAAAAGTGGAAACAGTGTTCTAGTTAGGAAAGTAAAATGGTGCAGCTATTATGGAAAAGGGTATGGTGGTTCCTCAAAGAATTAAAAATTAAATGATCCAGCAATTGTGCTTATGGAGATATACCCAAAACAATTGAAAGCAGGGTCCCAAGGAGATATTTGTACACTCATGTTCATAGCAGCACTATTTACAGTAACTAAAAGGTGGAAGCAACCCAAGTGTCCATCAATGGGTGACTGGATAAACAAAATGTGCTATACACATGCAATGAATATTATTCAGTATCAAAAAGGAAGGAAATGTTGCCATATGCTAGAACGTGGATGAACCTTAAGGACAATGTGCTAAGTAAAATAATCCAGTCACAAAAAGGCAAGTACATATGATTCCACTTATGTGACGCACCTGGAGTAGTTCAGTTTACAGACGGAAAGTAGAGTGGTTGTTGCCAGGGGTGGGGGTGGAGGTGCGGGGTGGAGGTGGGATGGGGAGTCAGGAGTTGTTATTTAGTGAGTGTAGAGCTCCAGCTTTGCAAGATGAAAAGAGTTCTGGACACCCACAACAATGCGAATGCACTTAACACTTCTGAACTGTACACTTAAAACAATTAAGGTGGTACATTTTAAGGTATGTGTATTTTGTCACAATTTAACAAATATTAACCACTGAAGTATGTACACCTACTGTCTCATCTGGTCCTTTCAGTAATCCTGAACTGTTAGTAGAACAGTCCCATTTCATAGTGAGGAAAATAAGGTTCAGAGAAGTGAAGTAAATTGTTCAGGACACATGACTAGACAATGAAAAAGCTGGGCTTCATACTCAGATCCCCTGGTTCCATGCTCAGTGCTGGCGTCTACCACATGTCAACACCTGCTTTGTTTCTGGTTCAATTTCTCTCCCTTCCTAAATCTTCAGAGAGCAGGTGTGAGTCAACTGTCAACAGTCAGTAAAGGTCACCCAGCAGTCCCTCGGCTGGCAAAATCAGAGACCACTGGCGTGGAGATTGTATACATGAAATGAAGAACTTTAAGATGGTCAGGAGAAGATGGGGGCTCTTACTTTTGAAATGACTCCATTATATGTCCTCCCACCCTCTACCTCCTATGAAGACAAAAGATGACAAAATGAACTTACAGAAATAAATTCCATCTAGTGAGAGAAAGGGGGAGCTGTGGGGAGTGCACCGAGCAGGAGTCGAGCCTAATCCTACCTGCCTAGACGACCAACTGACTGTACAATCCTGGGCACGTCCCGTCCTCTGCCCCAAGGGTTGGGCTGCTATTACTGCCACCATTGTCACATACCGAACTTCAACTGACTTTAGAAGGAAGAACACAGTCTTCCACGGGGAGTCAAAAATACAAGAGGATCATCTAGCCTCTTACAAACATATTTTCTTTATTATGGGTTTGGCTTGTGTCAGGCACAGTGATGGTCGCTTTACCTATGGCAGCCTTCATCCTTCGGCCGCTTGGCAATTTATTTTTAAGATGAGACTACACTGCTCATCCCAAGTTTCCCAAAGGATTTGCCTAGAGGATGAAGGGCAGAGTCAGAATTTGAACACAGACTTGTCTAGTTCCAAAGATGGCTCTTTTCTCTAGTTGAACCAGTGTTAAGTTCAAGGGCCAAGCTATATGAAGAGCTGTGGAAGCACCAGGGAGACAGGGAAGAAGTCCGCTCTACCTGTCATCCCCAGGGGAGTGGAGAAGGTGGGCACTGAAGTTGCAGGAAAGCAGGAGGGTAGATGGGGGGAGCATTTTGTGAAGCAAGAGCACGCAAGCATGGCCAGGGTGGTGGAGACTACAAAGTTTCTAGGAAAACTTGGAAACAATCCTCTTCAGTTTAAGGGTAGTTGTTGAGCTGTGGCTGGAGCTCGTAATCCCAGCACCTTTGAGATCGTAATTCCACCCGCATTTTGAGGCATCTTGAATGCCATGCTCTAAGGAGTTCAGAACTTGTTTCTGTAGGCAGGAGGGAACCATCAAAAGTTTGTATCGAGAGATTCATCAGCAATTGTTAATACTATCTCCTTTATAAGTGGTTTTTTTTTTTAATGGTGTGAAGAAATTAAACATGTCTGAAGTGTTTCAAGGAGGATACAGTTGTTTTCGTTCCATGTCACATAGACACTAGCATCATTGGCTGATCTTGCTCGGGTGAGCAGAGGCATTACATTGGCACTTAGAGCCCCTTGGCATGTACAGTGAATTCCGCTAATCATGATGCATTTTCCCTAAAATAATGAGACATTTCTATTTTCTTTTATGCTTTAGGAAAGATTAAAAAACTTCAAAGAACTCCAAGCTAAATTTCAAAAGCTGGATGTGCCATCTCTTCCACGACCTATTAAATCCCTAGCAGGTGTTTCTCAAAAGGGTGACACTAGTAGCACACAGTCAATGAGGATTTGGGCCAATAGGAAACCCCTCCCATCCAACCACAATCAGCCCCCACCATATGGTTCCAGTGGTGAACCCCGGCCTCTTGAACCCCAGGAAGTGAAGTTGGCACCGAGGAGTGAGATTCAGAAATGTTCTGATTCCCCAGGACCTCCGGGAAGGTCTATTCATTCTGCAGAAAATTCAGAGAAGGCTCCTTTGCTTTTGGATGTGAATCAGTCAGATGCTATGATAACCAATGAGGAGGAAGTAGTGGCCAGTAGCTTCAGAGACAAACTGTGGAACTGGGAGAAGTTTGCATCTCAGAAAAGTGAAATGTCGTCAGCTCCCCTCCTTGCCAATAGAAGTCGGGCTTTCCATCTGGGAGATCAGAAAAGCATGGGGCTTACTGCTCCAGAGGAGCCCAGGAAAAGGCTGGAAATAAAAGGATCCCAGAATCTTCCTTCCCAGAGGCACTTGATGATCCAAAGAAAATCACTTGTCACCTCAGAAGATCATACTTTTCTACTTTCTCAACATGGAAGAAAGAGCCTCGAAAAGTCCAGTCCTGAGAGGAGCCCAGCAGGGAGCACCTGCCAGCCTATCTATGCGAGTGAGCTTGCCAGCTGGGCCCCAGGTGAGAAATCTAATCCCCACAGGTGTCGGGGGAGAGCTCACTGTTTTTCCAAGTTAAAGCTTGCTGAGTTGAGAAGGTCACATATGTGACCTCAGCAATATTTGCTCCAAACTCCAACATGGGCATTCTAGGACCATCTGCTAAATTGTAATTTCAGGTTTGGGCAAAGTGATTAATCTCCTAGAATTATATTGAGAGATAATTTGGGCAAACTTGGATTTGAATTCTAGTTCTACTTCTTACAAGATGCATGACCTTGGGCAGTCTGCTTAACTTCATAGAGCCTGGTCTGCTCTCCTACAAATCAGGTCCATCACCAATCTTCCCCATCTTGGTACCCAGGACAACCATCCTCCTGGTTGTTCACACCCAAAACCTAGGAGTCATGTTCTACTCCTCTCTCCCTTTCATTCTTTGCATCCAACTCATCCGCAAGTTCTCAGTTCTACTTCTAAAATGTGTTCTGTATCCCTCCACTTCTGCCCTCTGCCCATGTCCACACAAAGCCATATCTCTCCTGGACCCCTGCACTGGCCCAGCTGGTCTTCCTGCTCCCACACTCTTGCCCTCTTATATTCTGCTCTCCTAGCAGGCACAGTGATTCTCTAAAACATAAGTCCTATCACACCAGTCTCCTGTGCAAATTCGGCTCCAGCTGTCTTCCAGTGGCTCATGTGATTCGGTCTTTACCTACCTTTCTTGCCCTCTCCTCTCTCATTGCATTGACTTTCCTGTTATTCCTCAGATATTTCAAGTTGGCGTGTTTGGGAAACACTAGCCAACTCCTTTAGTTTTACCATGTAATCAACCATTGTATTATGTAAACCAAAAATCAAAGCGCTTGGATAATCTAAGAATTTGTGCTGTTTTCCAAAGAAGCAGATACGATTTTCATCTGTAATATTGGAGTTTCTGTTGGAGTTTGGCTTATCAGTACAGAAAGATAAAATATACAAAATTGGGACTATCCTGCAAAATTCCAGGACACAAAATCCTCAGGTGCCTAGGTACCAAAGTCAGCCTTGAAGCCTGTCCGAGGCTCCGAGCCCTGGAAATCAGAGATCAGTTCTGACTCCTCTTTATAGCACCCATGTTATTGACCGTCATAAGTGCCTGAAGAGCCCTTTCAGGGAGTAGTTATTGAACACTTCCTCTGAATTGGGCCCTGTGCTTGGTGCTGGGAAAAGGTCAGTATGGCCTAGTCCCTGCTCACAGGAACCAACACTCAGTGGGAAGTTAGACCAGCCCCTCTAATGAGCCACAACCCTGCTGGAGAATGTGCTGTGGGGATACAACAGAGTCCTTGATTCTGGCCTTGATTTCTGGTAGAAATCAAGAAAAGCTTCCAAGGGGAGGTATTATTGGAGCAGGGCCTTAAAGAGTCAAAGTTTGGCAAAAAGAGAAGTAAAGGAACAGCATTCTAGAACCAGGAAAGGCATGAACAAAATCATGGATATTCAAAACCCTTTTAAGGCTTTAAAAATCAAATCTAGAGAACTGAGGAGCCAGTGGTGTGAGTGAAAGAGTTTGGGCTTCAGGTCAGGGAAGTAGGATAATGAAGTCCGGTAAGAAAATAATCTGGAAATGTCAACTGGGGCTGTGTGCAGTTTAAATGCCAGAGGAGGGAGCCAACAAATGTCATGCTGAAGAAATAGGGCTTCATCTTCTGGGCAGCGGGGTGGCGACAAGATCAGACCTGTGCTTCGATCTGGGCACCCCGGCTGCTGAGTGGCATGTAGGTCGGAGGGGAGTGAGAAAGAGGCAAGGTCAGTTTCATCCAACAAGCCATGAAATGGAAATAATTAATAATCTACATTTTGGACTGTCTGTGCTCAGAAAAACAGCCAGATGTGAAGCATCACCAGCTTCCCAAAACGAAGCCACTGCCTTCCGTGGAGTCCCTGGGTCCTCCTCCTGTGAAGCCGCCAAAGCCGCCAGCGGTGAACCTCCAGGCCTTTCAGAGGCCGACAGCCGCTGTCCCCAAGACCCACTGGGAAGGTGAGAAAATGCACAGCCCC